TGCCGCGTCACATTTTAGCTCAGGGAAAGGTAAAAACAACCAAACAAAATTCCCCCAAAACTTTTTTTAAAAAAAAAAAAAAACAGAAACAACCCAAACAACAAGGTCATGGGGGATCCCCTTGACCACTGACATAGATGCCCGTGGATATTCTGCTTGCAGAGCATGTGGCAAAGCTCCAGGGACTCTGATGTCACCCTGTCACGAGGGCAGCAGGAGGTGGGGGTGTTGGGGTGGGGAAGGACTCCCACACCTGCCGTTACGGCAAAAAACACTGGCTGATTCCTCCATGCCTCCATGAGAGCTTTGCCTCAAACTGCTGCCATGGCAGGGGCTGCTGGACCTGTGTTAATCTGCACCCAGTTTCCCCCCTGTGCTAATTCCTGCCTCCTCCAGTGAGAGCAGGGAGGAAAATGGGAGATGCTGCCGGTGACAGCGCAGGGCACACGCGAAGGGTGCAGCTTGCGGCCTGCAAAGGACACAACGGGTGGAAAATGGCAGGATCAGGCAGATAAGGTGAGGGAGGGGGGGAACCAGCTTGACAGAACTGGTGATCCAGGTGGAAATTACCATGGCACCATACCAGAAATACCAAATCAGGGCACAAAGTGAACAGAACACCTTGGCCATGGGAAAGGGCAACAGGGGCAAGGGTTTATTGCGGAGGAAAGGGGGCTGTTAAAGGGGAAACTTGGGAAGGGGTTAAAGAATATAAGGGGAAGCAAATCACAGGATTTGGACTATTTGGGGGTCACTGATCACCCCAGTGTGGAGCAAGACAATAACCCACTGTTGTTCTGAGCACTCTTGTGTCCGGCTGACTTTGACAGTCGTAGGGAAGCCACTGCTGGCATGGGAATGGACTAGACAACCTGCAGAATTGTGTCAGGCCTACACGATAGGCCTCCCAAAAATGACAAGGAAGGGTAACAGAAAAAAACACCCTTTGAGCAGCTCCAAGCCATTCCTTCTGTGAAACCTGCTCCTGTGTCCTAGTGTACTCAGGACACGACTCAGCCGAGCTAGGACATGGGCTCCTTGCAGTGGACAGCAGGGAGCCGCACGGCCTGTCCTCACATGAGGAAACCTGAGCGCCCAGGACACCCCATGTGCCACCCCGGCTGGGTCCTCACACCTGCACAAGGCAGAGGCAGAGCCGCTAGTCCAGGGCCATTTCTGAAGTGTAAGAAGCAGAGTGAACAACCAAGCCAAGCCACGTCCCCAGGCACTGCAGCGAAGCCTCGGTTGGGCCTGGCTGCTCCTGCAGCCGCAGGGCCTCGCGCTGCAGCACAGCAGCTGCGGTGCCCGCTGCGCTTGGGCCCCGCTGTTTCACTGCACGCCACGCGGGAATCGGGAGGAAGTGGAGGAAAGGGAAGGGAAGGAAGGCAGACAAATCCTAAAAGAATCCAGCCAGAATCTACTGAGATCATCCCCTTGTCCTAGAGATAGGGGCAACTGCAGACCTTTGCTTTGGCAGCAGGAAGGCTGCGACCAGCTAAAGACTCACTCTGTGTTTGCCTTCTTACGCTTTCCCAAGCCTCTTCCCAAAGCATTAATACACTCCAGACAACTGCCAGAAAGGAGATGAAATGGAGAAAAAGAGCAGTAGTGTGGGAAAGATGGCAGGTTGGGTCCACAGCAGCAAGCTAGAAAAGAAGGGACTGTCTTTTCTCATCAGCAGAGGCTAAGAGCCTTCCCCACCCCACATTTCCCCCCTTCTATGCACGGTGCCACAGGCTTGCTCCTACCCTGTGCACTTACCTTGCAGGCCAGAGCTGGCTGCTACAAGACCTGGTGTCACTGTGGAAGCAAAGAGAAAGGTCCCCCTTCCTCCCACCCAGCCAGCAGGAGGGGAAGGCTCTGCAGAGCACGGATGTCCTCGCGCAGGCGCAGGGAACATCTGCCTTCTCCTCTCCTGCCCTGTGTAGCGACGCTGGGCTGGCCGCGTGGCATGGGCCGCGCTCAGCTCCGCGGGACGGAGCAGATGCAGTATGTTGAGACACAGTGACTGCCATGATGGAGATGCACGAGTGGCCAAGGGAGCCTGGGCCCCTCACTGGGCTTGGACTCGCACCATGAGGAAGGACTATGGGCACTGCTAAGCTCTGCCCAGAGGTCTTCTCAGGAGCAGGCAGGCAGGACCGCTGCCAGACATGAAAAGCCACCATGCACAGGAACGCAAACCCGAGGGTCACCCAGCAGCCACCAGCGAGGAACAAGCATGTGTCCCTCGCCTAAGGTCCCCAAGTCCCTTCTCCCACAGCCAAACCTTGGCAAGGCGCAGGGCCTGGCCCAGGAGAAGGAACAGCCACAGACTGGTCCTGGTGTGATGACAGGGACTGAGGCTTCCCCACCCCTGCTGGGCACCTGCCAAGACCCACCTCAGAGCTGCCCATCTTGCTGACATCTCAGCAGAGGCTGTGCACATGAACCTGGTCCTCCAAACTCTTCCACTGGTTTATGACTCCTCGGGTCTGGACTGGGGCTGCAGAAGCCACGTTTAATCTTCTGCACAGGCACCTGGTGCTGCTGCTTGCCAACCCGTGGCTCTGCGGCTGCCCATAGCAGCAGCCTGGTACACTTGCCTGAGCAGACTGTAGTCCCAGCCAAACTCAAGGACAGGTGACACTGCTCCAGCCTGCTCGACTAGACTGCTGGTGTCTGCTCTAGCCCCACAGCAGGGGCCAACCCGGGCCTCCCAAGGGCACAAGGTGGTTCGGCAGAGTGATGAGGCTGGCAGAGACCCTTCAATTCAGCAGCTGCTGAGCTCCAGCACAGACCTGGAGCCTAGCTCCCAGGGCCCAGGCTTCTGGTTTTTAAGCTTAAAGGAAACTCACGTTTTCAGGTCATCCCAGCATTTCACACTCTGAGCAGCAAGTTGAGCTCCCTGCAAGCCTGACTCTCATGCCTCTTGCACCCCTGGCACCACAGCATCCCCCCGTAGCTGGCCCAGCACCCACTTCTCGTTGTGGTTTCCTCCTAGCTCAGGAGCTCTGCTGCAGACACGCATGTGCCCTGATTCCTTCTGCAGCCCAGGCACTGTGTTCAGCAACACTGAACCGGCACCTCGTAGGCCTGGCAGCTGCCTGGCCCAGATATGCCACAGGCAAACGTCTCATTCCAAGGCACATAGATTTAATATCAAAATAATTTTGTATAAAAATATGATGGAATATGGTGATGGCGAGCAGTCCTCCGTACAGAGTAGGCCATGCAAGGAGCAGGCACCCAGTCTTGCATCCTGGCTGGACAGGGAGCCAGAGCAGAGCCACAGGCTCCGGACCCACAGCAGCAGACATGGAAAGATGCAGCGCTCTCCTCCTGCTGGATCAGGAGGTGGCTGCGGATCCACCTCCAGAGCCAGGGAAGCACCCTGGCACCTGCATCAGCCGCAGCCCTCCTGCTCTCAGCTGTGCCAAGGACCTCCAGCACTGATAAGCTGGAGGGGCACTGCCACCCTCAGAACAGTCCCCAAGGCCAAGCCCACCTGCAGGACCCATGCGGGTCAGCAGCCCACACTGCTCATCAGCAGCTCTGGGCCCCACCGTGCTTTCCCGGCAGGCAGAATGACAGCGCCTTATATCTCTCCCAGGTCCTCGTAGACGGGTGACAAGCTGATTTCATCCACAGACTGCTCCTTCTTCTGCATGTGCTGGGGCTTCACTACCTGGCTGTATAGCACCTCCACGTTATTATTGTTGCTGCTATTAAGGCTGGGTTTGATGACCATCTTCTCAGGAACAGGGGCTACCCGTCTCCTGCCTGGGTCCATGCTTCTCTCGGCAGCTTTAGGGATAAATGTTGCCTGGGGTTTGGGGGCAGGCACTGGCTTGGGGCCCTTGGCCTTGAAGGCAGGTACTGAATAGTCATCCGTGCTGGGGTTGTAGGGATACTCGTAGCCATCCTTGCCATCGTGGCCCTGGGTACGCCAGGCTTCATCTGTGGGCCGTGCTTCGTCATAGATGCACATGGAAGGGGGCAGAGAGCGTGGGGCGCAGCCCTCAGGCTCGTCATAGATGGGCTCCTTCCGCGTCGGTGGCACCAGCGCCAGGGCCCCGCTGTCCGCCTGGACCTGCTCGTACATGCCGGAGTAGAGCGGCATCCGGGGCTTTGTCTCTTCCACGGCTGCGCCAGACGCCTTGGCCTTGCTCCTGGCCTTGCTGTCTATGGGGTCTGAGTAGAGCGGGTCCAGGTGGCACCTAAAGGCCTTCACCGAGTCCAGAGGCTCCGAGTACACGCTGGACAGGTCCTCAGCTGGCAGCACGGCTCGGGATGCTTTGGGCATAGGGGAGCGTGGGGGTGTGCTTGGGACCACGGGCTTGGCTTGCGGCACTGGGGGCTCCGGCAGAGTCCGGCTCTTCAGCAGAGATGCGGCATCTCTCTCCTCCGCCACGGCACTGGGCCTGGGTGGCGGCCCTGCTTTGGGGACCGTGGTGCTGTCCCCCTCTGCAGGCATCTCAAGGCTCAGGGAGTCAGCCAGCGCCTGGCGGATCAGCACCATGCTGGGGCTGTCCGACTCCAGCGAGTCACAGCTTTGCCGATTCTCCTCCACCTGCGCTTTCTGCTCCCGGATGGAGGCTTCCACCAGGCGGAAGATCTCATTGCCCTGCTTGGTCTCAAAGGTGAAGTTCCCTGGGCCAGAATCGCAGCGCCTGCCAGCTTCGAAGGAGAACATCACCTGCAGGGAAGGGCAAGGGTCACATCCTGCCAGCACCCCGCAGCCCGGGGCCTTGCGCGGGACGTTGCTTCCTGCTAAAGAGCAGGTGGCGGGAGGACCAGGCCTGCCCTTCCAGCAAGGAGACTTCACAGCTGCTCCCTCTGCACCTAGCGATGAGGGTGGCCACTATGAGCCCTGCGCTAATGGCACAGCGTGCTCTGCAGCTGCACGGCCCCGCTCTGCCTGTGCCGGGGGAGCTACGCTGCCCAGAAGCCTGGAACAAGCTGTGAAACGAGAGTGGGACACTCTGGAGGAGACATCAATGCAAGGCACTCAAGGCCCAGGCCCTACTGGAGATCTGCTGCCTCATCTGAGCTTTTCCAGATGGCACCAGATAGCCTAGGAAATAACACGAAGTTGGATCTAGAAACAAAGCAGGGTGAAAAAGTGCAGCAGGAGAAAGTCTTATGGGCAGAAGGGTAAGTCAGCATTAGTGAGTCTTCCGTGTGAGAGAGGCCAGAAGCAGCAGCTTGGCTACCAAAGGCCGATGAACAAAGCATCTGCTTTACGAGCATTATTCTGTTAGTGCTACAGAGTGCTTCACAGAGAAGCTTTGCAGCAGGCTATGTGCAGCAGGCTGTGTGTGTTTCTTGGGCTCTGAACACACACACACACAGAGTAATGTGCAGGTTCCCATCTGCAGATGGCAAGATCCTTCCTGAACCTCAGTCCTTGAACCCGGACATTTTCTGCCTGGTGCTCTCTCCTGTGCAGCAGCCCTGCTTGCCCCAAAATGCTCCTAATAAGCCAACAGGTAGCTTTGAGGAGCAACTGCAGCAGGACCTGACCCACCTCGATGCCCTGCCTCCAGCTGGCCCAGGTCTGGGCACAAAGCTCAGCCACGCTGTCACTGTGGGGCAGCCGCTGCACGTGCTCCTCCTGCCACGTGCTCTAGGCCTGCCCCCAGCACAGGCCCCACAGACGGGCCAGATCCTCCCCGAGAGCTGCTCAGCCAGTTCCCACTTCTGCTCTCATAAAGTGCAGCAGAAAGTGCTCCACGGAGGCTGCAGGGACACCGCTGCTTCTATAAACAGCCAGGGGAGACCGCTTCCTCTGCAGGCAGCACAGCCGGCCCGGCAGGTGCATCTCACACCGGGGGTGGCAGCGTGGGGACGGGGGGATGCTCTGCTGAAGGATACGGGGGTGGAGAGAGGCCTGCGGGGGTTGGCCATGCTCAGAACAGCACACCCGGAAAGACGAACAAATCTGTCTCGAACAGACAAAACCCCGCTCACATCAAACCCCTTTGGGACAGACCCATGGCAGCCAGGGCAGAAGGCGCACGTGGAGCCAGGGCTGCAAAGACCCGAGATCGCGGCAGGCTATGGCAGCCCCGCAGGGCACAGGAGCTGGGCACGTGGGGCAGGGGCTGCCGGGGACAGAGAACAGGGGACAACCCGGCTGCAGGGCTGCCTGGCAGAGGGCAGACCGGGGCCAAGCAGTCCAACGGGAGCGGGACAAGGACCGCATGCAGAAGGGCTCCGCACGGCTGCCCTCAGCAGACACACATCCTGCACAGTGACATTCACCACCACAGGCTGGGAGCTGGGGACCCGCTGAGGATCGCAGATGAGCTGCCCCTCCTGCAGCCGTCAAGGCCTGCAGCAGCTCCCGTGTGCGGCGGGGCCTGGACACCCCTGATGCACCCGCTCGCAGCCCTTCCACAGGGCCTCAGCTCCGGCACACCGGCTCCCGACCCACCTTGTCTCGGCCGTATCTCCGCAACAGCCGGTAGGGCCAGACATAGAGGGTCTCCTTCGTCTGCGGGTCCTTCAGGACGAGGCTGTCACGCTCGGCCTTGAGCACGTAGGCGCCCCGCAGCTCGCAGCGCTCTGCAGCCTCTGTCCGCTGCACTGTCACCCAGAACACGTTTGCTGTGGGGACAGAGGGGATCAGTGCACGCAAACGAAACACCCCCCTGGCTCCAGGCAAGGCCCAGCCCGGCCTCCAAGGCACCCTGCACGCAGCAGCGCAGGGACGTGGCCTGGGAAGGGCACGCGAAGCCCAGCAGCAGCATCTACCTTCATCCCGCGAGTAGTAGATGGAGTTCACGGCCATCTCCAGGGCTGGCGTCTCCCCGCCTCCCTCTCTGCCACGCCGGGCTGCTGTGCTGGCATTGCTGGGGCCGTTTCCCTGCCAAAGGAGAGTGCATCAGCCTGAGATACCTTGTCCCTTGTCAGTGCCAGCTGCTGCACTGGCTTCACTTGCACCTTCGGCCCGGTCTGATGGCCAGCCGCCCTCCGCAGGGTCCCACCTCGGCCACCCATGGCCCTTCCCCAGGCGCATGGAGCTGCAGCAGGGACAGACCCCACATAGGACCTCGGTCACACCCCTGGGGCTGCCTTTAGAATCACAGAATTGCTATGGTTGGAAAAGACCTTTGAGATCATCGAGTCCAACAGTAACCCCCTCAGCACCATAGGTGTTAAACCATGTCCCTAAGTGCCTCACCTACACATTTCTTCAACACTGCCAGGGACAGAGCCTTCACCACTTCCCCGGGCAGCCTGTTCCAATGCTTGGCTGCTCTTTCTGTGTAGAATTTTTTCCTAATATCTAGCCTGAACTTCCTCCGGTGCAACTAGAAGTCATTTCCTCTTGTCCTATCTCTAGTTATTCTGGAAAAGAGATCGATCCCTGTTTCACTACAAGCTCCTTTCAGGCAGCTGTAGAAAGCAATACAGTCTCCCCTGAGCCTCCTCGTCTCCACACTAAGTAACGCCAGCTCCCTCAGGCCTGTGCTCCAGCCCCCTCCTGCCAGCAGGACCCAGGCACCCCTGGGTGCAGGAGAGCAGCGCTGTCCCCAGCAGCCTGTCCCTGGGCTCCAGGCACCCGCCGGCTCTGGCTCTGGCAGGCAGCTGCAGCAGCCAGTGATCCGATGCGCCCTGCTCTGCAGCTGCGCATCTGCCCCGCTCCGGCAGGGCCTCGGCCGCCCGGACGTCCTGGTGTCACGCAGAGAGTGGCTCTGCTTCCTCTTGGATGTGCTCCAGTGCAGGCAACATCAGCGCCCGACGCGCCGCGCAGGCCGGTGGCGCAGGCAGGGCATGTGAGACAGCCCCGTAACGCGAGGGTCTCTGCCCCCGGCTTCCGCACGGGCAGGAAGATGGCAGCAGCATCTCCGCGCGCAGCCCGCAGAAGGGAAGCGGTGCATCTGCATTTAGCACATGCAGAACTGAAAGTGCAACGCAAACACTCCTGCTCGGAGCCAGGCCCCTGCGGCACGGTCCCCCGAGGCCTGCATGGGGACACACGTCCCTACCCCAGCTACCACAGGAGAGCAAAGAGCCCCACCAGGGAAGCCCCACACAAATCAAAGCCTTGCAGGTGCCTTTTGCTGAATTTAGAATGAGTGTCTGCACTCTGACAGCAGCTGAAAAATGCTTCACTGTCAAAGCACATGGGATGGGGTTGCAGCAGGACGCGTGTCTTGCAGAAGGCAAATTGTCACATTTACAGTTCAAAATTGGCCAAGTGGGCCTCTTCACAGGAGGCAAGTCCCAGCAGGATCTGGTGTCCTAGAGCTGAGGGACCCTGCTCAGCTACAGCACCTAATGCAGAAGGGCTTCAGCCCAATCAGGAAGTCAACAGTGAGCAAGTCTGACAGAGCTCCTGAGCCCTTTGGACCATCAAGGGAAAAGAGAAACTCCGTCCTGAACTGCAACTGGTCTCATGCAAAAACATGCCCATGTAGATGATCAAAAAACACAGCCAGCTCCTCGCTTCCTTGCCTCCCCCTCACTCTTGCATGTCTCCGTGCAGGCCAGGACTTGGTAACACACACAGCACCCTCTGCTTGCCCTTTCCCCACCTCCAGCGAGCTTTGCAAGTGCCCAGCAAGCAGCTATTGCACGATGGAGAGCATGGGACCTTCCCACTCCAAGTGGATGCTCCCCAGCTTGCCACTGCCCACATCACTCTGGGTTCCCAGCTCAGTTCCACATCCCTTTCCAGGGAAACAGGCAGCATCATTGCGTGCAAAATGGACATGGGCACGGACAAGGAGGGAGTCCCAGTGCGATCCTGTGCTCCCGATCACCAACAAACTGCGTTTGACAGTTACTTAAGGTTAAGTCGGGCTGAGCAAACATGGTTCCCAGTGGGAGGACCCTGGGCCTGCCAGACATGGCACGGGCAGCTCTGCCCGGCACTCGAGAACAGCCGGAACAGTGAGAACACAGCCCAGAGCCCATGCAGGGACCTGGTCCTGCGGCAGCAGCTGCCAGGGGCCTGCAGAGAGGTGAGAAAGACACGGGCAGCTCCTGGTCCATGCTCACTGCCTTGCCATGGGTGTCCTGCACTGGGGAACAGCCACAGGAACAGCGGGCCCCTGGGCAGGGGAGCCCGAGGGCTCTGCACAGCCCCGGTGCAGATACGGGCACCCCGTGCCAGGATGGGCAGGCCATGGGGACAGGCAAGAGGGTGACAGGCAGCACTGGAGCTGCCGCTGTGCCTCCCGGCGCCAGGCGCAGAGCGCTCTGGGGTCCCCATCGCGGTGGGCAGCGATCAGGCCCCTGCCCCCGTCAGCCGGGGTCCCGGCAGGCAGAGGGAAAGCAGCCAGGCCCAAAGCTCAAGCAAGCGGCCACCTAAGGAGCCCCGCGCAGGCGCAAGCCCAGCCCAGCGGCCACTGCACAGCATGAGCTGCGTGGGGCAACCTGGTGCCCCCAAGCTGGGCTCCCCCCACCCGGCCCCCTGCCCTGCTGCCAAACGGGGAGCCGGACACCACAGCCTCCCCCCCAGCCTCCCTCCTGTGCCTGGCCTCCCTGCACAC